CCCACCTCTGCACCCATGCAACCTCTCTCTCTCTCTGTGTATCACACACACACACACACACACACACACACAGTGCTATTGAGTTTAATTAACATCCACAGCTGGGGAACAATCAGGCTTGGGAGACTGAGACATATCTTACATTTTCTTCAACAGTGAGCAGTCAATCCCTCTTCTCCCACAAGCCTTGTATCGCAGCCAAAGCAGGAGGCTGTTAGTTGGCTGGGAAACAGGACAGGCAGGGAAGAAGGGAGATTGCTCAGTCTGTAGCCTTACTATTTTCATCTTTACCCAGGCACAGAGCAGGGCTGGGCCAGCCCTGTCCAGTAGAATAACTGGACAATAATGAAAATGTCCAATAACTACGTGGTAGCCACCCCCCCCACCCCCCCCCCCCCCCCGGTCAGGACAGATGAAGTGTTTGAAAGGTGGCTAGAGCAACTGAGAACTCAAATTTTAATTTTGCTTCATATTTATTCATTGACAAAGCCACAGCAGTTTCTGGCTGTTCTACTGGAACCATGAATTTAGAACAAAGAGAAATCCTGGAGAGAAGGAGATTGTACCTACCCTTACTCTGTTCATCTCCCTTCCTCCTTTTGTCTCTCTACAAGGTGATCGTGTCTCTAGGTAAAGACATGCATGTAATGGCCTCTCGAAGCATCCACTGAGCCTTAATGTTTCACACACACACACACACACACACACACACACACACACACTTGTATTGCAAAAATGCTTTTAGACCCATTTCTCTTTGCCTTTTGGTCATATAAGAAGTTTAAATCCAGCCAGGCACTGGTGGCTCATGCCCGTAATCCTAGGAGGGTGAGATCTAAGGATCACAATTCAAAGCCAGGCTGGGCAGGAAAGTTTGTGAGACTCTTAATCTCCAATTAACCACCAGAAAACTAGAGGTAGCGCTGTGGCTCAAAATGGTAGACCACTAGCCTTGAGTGAAAGAGCTTAGAACTCAGCGCTCCTGAGTTCAAGCCCCACAACAAACAAAAAAAAAGGGGGGGGGTTAAATCCACTGGGCACCAGTGGCTCACATCTGTAATCCTAGCTACTCGGGAGGCTGAGATCTGAGGATTTGGGTTCAAAGCCAAATCTCTTACCTCTAATTAAGCACCAAAAAAGCTGGAATTGGAACTGCGGCTCAAGTGGTAGAGCACTGGCTTTGAGCAACAAAGTTCAAGGACAGTGCCCAGGCCCTGAGTTCAAATCCCAGGACTGGCATAGCAAAAAAAAACTATGGTTAAATCTATAGAGGGAAGTAGAATGAGAGACAGAGGGAGCCCAGCTCTCATTTTCATTATTCCTGGGGTAATCCTCATCATCAGGCTAGAAGAGACTAGAGAGCCAGACATGGCAGTGCAGGCCTGTAACTCCAGCACTCAGACTGCTAAAGCAGGAGGATCACAAGTTCTAGGCCAGCCTGCACTATGTAAGGAAACTCTGTCAGAAGGAAGGAAGGAAGGGAGGAAGGAAGGAAGGAAGGGAGGGAGGGAGGGAAGGAGGGAGGGAAAGAAGGAAGTAAGGAAGGGAGGAAGGAAGGAAGAAAGGGAGGAAGGAAGGAAGAAAGGAAGGAAGGGAGGGAGGGAGGAAGTGAGGAAGGGGAAGAAGGAAGGAGAAAACAAGCACAGTGCTTTTATGGATGCCTCTAGACTCGTGCTAAGTGTTCCATATTTCCTGTCTTCTAAAGAATCTCCTCAGAAGCTAGAGAGAGTGGGATTGGGGACATGTCTCCCTCCCTAGGTCATTTTCTCCCTACAGAATAAAGAAGCATCAGGGGGCTGGGAATGTGGCTTAGAGGTAGAGTGCTTGCCTAGCATGCATGAAACCCTGGATTTGATTCCTCAATACCACATAAACAGAAAAAGCCAGAAGTGGCGTTGTGGTTCCAGTGGTAGAGCACTAGCCTTGAGCACAGAGAGGCTCAGGGACAGAGCCCAGGCCCTGAGCTCAAACCTCAGCAAAGAGAAACAGCAGGATTTTATACCCAAATGAGCTCTGACCCCCTCTCTAGCCCCTATACCTGCTTCTTCTTCTCTCCCCATATAGTTCTCATTTGTCCATCTCCCTGACTCTAAATGTGTACTAAAGACATTTAAGAAGAGGGACAGTAGGAGTGGGTGGCATCCAAACATCAGACTTTGCCATTGGCTTTAGTTCCTCAGGTTGTGCAGGCCCCAGTGTCCTCCGCCATCTACTGGCCATCTGGAGGTATTGACCCACTTGTCAAAGAGTTTCCAGAACCCACTATCCAGGGCAGTCTTCACCAAGAAGTCCTCCTCCATGTATCCCTCCCATAACCTCAGTTCATTTTCTCTTGGTAAAATAGCTCAGGGATACTCATGTCCTCGTACTGCACCTAAAACTTAAGCACGTCCAAAGTTGAAAGCCTATTTATGATTCGGCCACAAAGTAGCTGAGTAGGGTAAGCTGGCTCTGGTATTCCAGCCTTGGTTTGCTTGCCAGCCCTTTAATCTTCATGGCTCTCCACTGGCTGCTGGCCAAGTTTCCACTGTCTCTCTGGAGCCTACAGGTGACCACAAGACCCTGATTAGTATCTTTGATACTCGGCTCTCCTAAGTAATAGGTCCCATGGGGTTAAGTGGCAGGAAAAAACCAGGAGGGACATCAACACTTTAAGCCTGCCTTTCAGAAGCAATCAGAGGGGATGCATAGAGAGGGGGCAAGGGGAAAGGGCACTCCCAGAAGCCCTGTCTCGGTGAAGTTCAGGGTTTCCAAAAGCCTTCTAAGTTCTTTGAAGAAAGATACCAGAATTACATTTTGTTTTATAGTATCATCATTGCTTTGCTCCAATGCAATACCTGAACACTTTGAAAGAAAAGATCAAGAGCTGGGGGCCCCGAGGGGGAGGAGGGAAATGGGGACTTACTCCTGTAATCCTAGCTATTCAGGAAGCTGAGACCTGAAGCTTGAGGTTCAAAGCCAGCCAGAGCAAAACAGTTCATGAGACTCTTACCTCCAATTAACCAGAATGTGCGCGCGCGTGCACACACACACACACACACAAATCAAAACGAGAGCTATAGCTCAAGTGGTAGAGTGCCAGCCTTGAGTGGAAAAGGCTAAAGAGAGAAGGAGGGGCCCTAAATTCAAGCCCTAGTAAAGGCAGAGAAAGAAGGAAGGAAGGAAGGGAAGGAAGGAGAGGAGAGGAGGGAAGAGGAGAAAAGAGGCCAAGAGAGATCCAAATAACTTTTCCCAAGGAACTTCTTAGAAAAAAAAAACTAAGATGAAGGGTCTTGATACAGAAAGGCTGTGAGCACCATGCTTCCATGGCCACCAAGCCCCCAAAAGAGAACAAAGTGGAGGATGGTACCTTCTCACCCACCCACCCACCAAGACAAAATACTAATAATAGGTAGCTGCAGAAGGGAGGGATGACACACCCATCCCCGACATCTTTAAGAACCAGGAAGTAAACCATAGATTGGTCCTCCCCATAGCTCCACCATCTTCCTCTCCAGTAATTACTTCTTTTCCTCTCCTGTGAGTAACCACCCAAATCTACCAACCTCCAGGATCACTTCAAAGCTTTGACTCAACCAGGTCTTCCCATCACCCGTCATCTTGACCAGGTTTGGCCATGTCTCTAAAGGCCTCCCCTAACACATGCCTGAACTTCCTCTGAGATAACCACTCAGAACTTGGACTCTGACACTGCTCAGTAACATAGAGGGTTCCCCTAAAGCTCCCAAATGTGCGATATCCTTCCATGCCCGTGCCCCCAATTCTTCCCCCTTCTTCCATTTTCTCATCCTAGAGGCCTCCTATCACAATTGCTGGGTATCCCAAGATAATGGAACTGAAATTTCATTTCACCTCATTTAGTAATGGTGGGGGGGGGATAGAAGGGGACACCCAAAGCCCATTTGCTTTTTGGGAAAAATCAGTGGATATACCTCAGTGGTAGGGCAACTGCCTAGCATGTGCAAGGCCCTAGTTTCAATCCCCAGCAATGACTACACTTTATCTCTCTCCCTCCCCCCTCTCTCTTTCTCTCTGTCTCTCTCGCTCACCGGTCTCCACACCTGGTCTGCATTCAGGCAGCTTAATCACACCCTGCCCATCTGGGAACAACAACCTAAGTGTCTGTTCTCTGGGGTCACAGAGCTGAGATGAGAAAAGAATTGACTGGCTCTCTGTGTACTGGAAGGGCCAGGCAGGACGAATTCACAGATCAACATGAACAAGGTCTTGCTCCTCTAAAGGTCATAAGTCAGCTAAGTATAGACTGTCACCAAGTCACTCCTATATATACACCATGCCTGCTCCAGCCAGCTGTCGGCCTCTCTCAGACTGGAGTGGAGTAATGTCCCAGCCACCCGGGTCCTGGAGCCTAGCACAGTGTCACTTCTGAGCCATGCCAAGGAGCAAGGTCTCTGGGTGTCAGCTGCCTCCATTCCTCCTCTAGCTCCCATATTTCTGACTTTCCCATCTCTCCCAGGTGCCCTTCTTGCTCCTCGTGATGATCCTTCTCCCAGGTCTGAATGAGTCTCAATGAAAGCGCAAGGAAGGGCCCCACTGGGAGGGCAGACTAGACCATTCTTACCCATACCTAGGCTGCCCCATCTCCCTATCTTGACCAACCCAGTCTCCAAGGTTCTTAAATCTCAACACCTCTCCCTCCAGTTACTCTCATCTACTAAGCCAGAGCCGCTGGCTAGCCACCTGCGCTCTGTGAACTATTTCCTCCACCTTCCTTCCTCCTGCCCCTAGGATATCACCTCTCTCCCATCCAACTCCCAAAGCCTAACACCCACCTGGTGAAGCCATGAGTCTGTGTCAAGATGCTCTTTTGCCATGGAGTCTTCCTCCCTTCCCCTACTTGAGTGAGGGCTGCCATTTTTTCCCCCTAGCTTTGGAGCTGCAGGAAAACAAAGACCTCATCATCCTCAGCTTCACCCCAAACCTTCCAGCACTGGGCTCCTGGCCCTCTGAGACTGACCTCTAACCCCTTCTCCCTGCAGAGAGAGACTCTCGCGAGCATGAGGAACCCACCACATCCAAGATGGCTGAAGAGACTTACTCGCCCAAGATCTTCCGCCCCAAGCACACCCGCATCTCCGAGCTGAAGGCCGAGGCCGTGAAGAAGGACCGCAGGAAGAAGCTGGTCCCAGTCCAAGTTTGTGGGGGGCGCTGAGAACACTGCCCACCCCCGGGTCATCACTGCACCTGAGATGAGACAGGAATCGGAGCAGGTGAGTCTCGGAGATGTAGGCTACTGTTCTGATATCTGACCTTTCCCCCTCATTCACTTGGATACTTGTGGCAGCAGGAGATCCCCAGGCCAGACCCTGAGGAGAACCTACTTCAGAGGATAATTGTCAGAGCTTGCCAAGGGCTTTGTCCAAGTAAGCAGGAATAGAGGTAGGATTCATTCAAAGAAAAGATCAGTCAGTCCATTGACCCCCATAGCAAATGTGTGAACTGCCCTAGAGCTGTGTCCAGTCCTAGGAAGAGGCTGAACAGCTCCCAGAGTTTCTGAAGACCAAAGCCTCTCATGTACAATGAGTCAGTAAGGCAGAAAAGCTGAGGTGGCTCTCCTGGAAAACTTAAAGGAAAATGTGGGCTATGTCTGGCCACATTGGGGCTTGCTCCATTGCTCTGGGTCGTATATCTGCACATCTGGGTGGTTTTTTACCTGTCATCCCTCTGTTCACCAGGGCCCGGGCCGCAGACACATGGAGGCTTTTCTGCAGGAGCTCAAAGCCAGCCCACACATGGTGCCCCGCGCTGTGTACCTGCCCAACTGTGACCACAAAGGATTCTACAAGAGAAAGCAGGTATGGAACGGCCCCACACCACGTTTTCAGGCACAGATAGATCCTGACACCTGCCAGGGAAATCTCCTTCAGGTTCAAGTCCCTGACTGGAGATCTCCACCAACAACTTAGGATTTCCCAAACCCAAAGTATCTATTCACAAGGTACAATTGTGATTTTTCCTCATTCCCTCCCAGGTTTTTGTGATTCCAACTTGCCTACATGGATTCACTGAAACATTGCATCTTATCGTGTTTGTGCTACACACACATACACACACACACACACACACACACACACACACAAGCATGAGACTTTAAAAACGTATTTTCTCCTGACACTATCTGTTATCATTTCATTTCCAATGACAGCCAGGCTCAATTTGGGGCAAGCCTATTTTTGGACAGTCATAGATCTCTGGTTCCCAAAATTCCAAGGGTCTCAGAAGCCCCTCTGTCATGCTCAAGTTTCTGATTGGCAAGTCTGAGGATTTTAATTTCTAACAAGCTCCCCAGGGACCCCGTTGTTGCTTCAAGGGGATTCCTTACTGGTATTGATATTAGTCCTTGTTAAGGGCCAGATGGCCTTGGGGCACAGCCAGGCTCCACCCCTTTTAGCTGTGTCTCCTCCCTCCAGTTTCTACACATCTCTGTGCCTTCAGTTCCTCATGTAAAATGAGGCCACACTACCCTCACCTGGGAGGAGTAAGTGATTCATTTTCGTTAAAAACACTGAGAGCAGCTCCTGCCACGTGGTCAGGGTAAGCAGTATCTGGCACGTAGAAAGCCACACACATGCTTTGACTGTCCCAATGCCATGGCTTCAAGATCATGTCCCGGTCTCAAGAGTCTTGGAGAATATTACATCAGAGGACCCCAAATTGGTAACTTTAAACAAAGTTAATAGTTAATTTTTAAAACAAGATTACAGAGTTTACCCAAGGGCAGATTGCCCATATTAGCCTTGCTCTCTAGGTTCTCCCATACAGTCCGTATGCTAGAACCCCAAGAGTTAGCTAATGACCCCGCTCATCTTGGGATGGGGAAGAGAGAGGGCAGACAGGAGCAGGACCTTGGGTAGTGGTGTGTCACTGATGGTCCACCTCCTCCCCCAGTGCAAGCCTTCCCGTGGCCGCAAACGTGGCATCTGCTGGTGCGTGGACAAGTACGGCATGAAGCTGCCAGGCATGGAGTACATCGACGGGGACTTTCAGTGCCACACCTTTGACAGCAGCAACGTGGAGTGACGCGCCCTTCCCCCTGCTTCCCCCTCCCACCCCCGCCCCAACTCCAGCCAGCGCCTTCCTCCTCCCCAGGACGCCACTCATTTCATCTCATTTAAGGGAAAAAAAACATATATATTATTATTATTATTATATATTTGAGGAAACTGAGAACCTCGGAATCTCCAGCAAGGGCTCAACTTTAGAAATGGCAACAACAGAGATGCAAAAAAATAGAGACCCCTGCCCCCTTCAAAAAAGAGGGAGGGCGGGGGTTCTTTTTGAGGCAAATTGAAAGAAGAGAGAATGGAAAAGAGAAAGAAAAAGTGAGAGAAAGGGGAAACGCATTGGTGAGGAAAGGTATCGGTGTAGAAGAGGAAACAGTGATGGATAGAGTTAAGGAAAGAAGAGAGGAACGTGGGCAGGAAAGAAAGGGGACCAGGATCAGGGCTGGTCAGGACCGGCTCTGGCTGGCAGTGGGAAGAGGCTGGGGCACTGAAGGTGTGGCCCAAGGTGTGACATTCAATGTCACCTTGGATTTATTTTTTGTTCCCAAGTTAATTGGTCTATGGGGGAGAAAGGAAAAAGACAAAATATGCCAGGACCCTTCTAGGGTTTTCTATTCCAGCCAGCAAAGTGGATGCCTTCCCCTTCTCCCTCCTCTCCTCTCACCCAAGTGGAGTGTTGTCTCCCCTCCAGATTTGTAAACACTGAGAAGCATTCCATTCCTCTAAAACCAAAGTAGATTCATAATTGGATGATTCTAAATAGGTTTCCCTATGCAGATACTTAAATATGTGTGTATCTTTCACTCCTCCTGCAGGAGTTTAGAAATCAAAATGTACCCCCCTATTGGAGAGACTTGTTCTTCTGGGGTGACAAGACATGGGCTGAGGCATGTATTTTCAGCTCCTGCTTTTACCCAGTTCACAACTAGCACTGCAGCCTCTGTGGCGGAGGATAGGCTGGAACAAAGAAAAGAAAAAAACAAACAAAAAAAGATGGCCTTGTATTTATCAACAAGCCTTCATATAGTCATATATAGGCATATAAATCTACTTTCTACTTTTTTTTTCTTCCTTTCTTGCAAAGGCTTGCATTACCTCTTCCAAGTAGTTTCTAAGGAGCATTGAGATGCTTCCTCATTCTGGGAAAACCAGGAAAATCCATAGTGTCCTAATAAAACCCATACCAACTAGCTTTTCTGCCTCTAGGCACGGGTTTCCCCTGAGCTGTAAACCCAGCTCTTTGTGAGTCTTTTCATGATTCCCTACCTGCTTCCTGTGTACCCAACCAGGCCAGGTAGCTGCCACCACTTGATAATGTGTGTCCCACACTCCCAGCTCATTCCATGTTCAGTCTTCAAGCCCTCAGGAAATAACTCTCTGGCCACCATACCAAACAAGCCCAACAGGTCCAAGTCTAAACCACTGGTCCTGCCCCAGCGTTTCCCTTTCATCTGGACAGACCTTCAATGTGAAATCCTCTCTCGATCTCCAGGCTGGCAGAGCAGGAGAGAAATGGACAAGAGGGATGGCAAAGAGGGAGGTGCTAGGGTAAAGGTTTCAGCAGAAGAGAACAGCAGATGGAGCAGAGGGACAGAAAAGCAAGAGAAAGAGGGAAAAGCCAATAGAAACCTTGCCTTTCTGGCCTTAGAAGCCCCTTTGAGATTCAAGAGGAAGGAGAGAGAAACATGAAGAAGTAGGTTAAAGGATAGAAATTAGCTCCATCCAGGCCATAGAACCAGGGAAGGTGGATAATTTGAGGTGGCTTCTAGACTTGAGGAGGTGGGTAGGAACGAGGATCAGTAAATCAGCCAAGCATTTGAAGGACAAAATAATGTTTCTAATGCCCTACCCTCAGCCCACCATGAAAGACTGAAGCCAGAGAGTTTTGCAAGCTCTCCTTGGTCTACTGCAGCCAGTCCCCACCTCCTCCCTGAGGTGAAAGAGGAATGCAAAGCTTAGGACAACCTGGGAATGGAAGCTTCATGGGGGCTGTCATTGGACAGCCAGATTCTGATCCAAGAACAATCCTCTCCACTAACTTGCTCAACCGATGGGCATCCTTGGGACTGTCCTGTAAGACTGAAGATAGGCCGCCACCAGAGGGGACTTGGACGCTGGTAAAGAAGGCCCTTAGTTGCTGTGGACACAGCTTTCTCTGCTCTCTCCTGATGGCTTGGCACAGTAGAGTCCACCTCCAACATCAAACATGGAGGACCGTAAAGAGTGATGGCGAAGAAACCAGTTGTATGTCAATTCACAAGAGCCTGGAACATGACGGCTGTCGCCTCTTGTTCTCCCAGACAGGACAGTTGGCTGGGGATGGAAGAGGCGATCGGTCTCCACAGTGAGATGAAGAGCTTTATAGGGATGGCAGCTGTGAGGACCTTCTGAACTTTGGGGGTTGGCACGTGCCATCTCTGTACACAACTGTCCCCAAGCTCCTGATTCAATACTTCCCTATACCTTAGACCAGTACCCTAAACCTCTCTTCATGTTCCCCTTCTTTCTTCTTTTTGCTTTGGATCTTGAGCAGTCATCTAACTGGGATCTGCCAAGTAGATACTGGGGTGCTATTCCCCCTAAGAAAAGACTGAGCCAAGAATTACCTTACGCCTTCCCTGCCTCTCCCAGGCCCTTGATCTGATTCCGGACATGGGTACACTCTTTGCCCCAATGTTTGCTTGCGATTGAAGGGGCCTCTGCCCATTACCTAGGCTCTTTGCTATCAGCCACAGACAGAGTGAACTAGTTTACTCCACTTCCAGACACTTTGGACTTCCCAAATTCAGCCTCCTAACCCACACCTGTGGTGAGTCTGTCCCTAGCTTGCAGGGCTTGTGGCTCTGACAGCGGACCTCTCCCTAGAGGAAGCTGGACCTTTCAGGAGCTGATGGAAATGAATCTGCCCGATGGGAGGTCTAGCTGAGCTCAGCAAGCCACTGAGAGAGAACAGGGTGGGCCAACAGGTGTGTCGTGGTGAGCACGAGTCTTAAGTTGGAAGCTCCCTGATGTCAGGCAGGCCTTTGGCCCAATATCTGTTCCTTGGGAAGCTCTGGACTCTGTGTTATCTATGGCCTCAGGTGTAAGTGCTCCCCAAGTCTGTCCTCACAGAAAGGCCTCTTCCATCCCCATAGGACTCATGCCTCAGAGCAGTGGAAATGATACCTCTGTCCTTCCCCCACGACTGCCAGCTAACGGGAGGGGGAGGGACTATTCAGGACTGATTCTCCTTACCCAGCCTACCTGGACACAGCTGGCAAAGCAGGGCACCTTGTGAGAAGGAGACTCATACTTCTTTTGACCGCCAGGCCTAGACACACAGGCCAGGGACACAGGCCCTGCATGGGGGAGCCCAGAAGGTCTCTCTGTAGTTGCTCCTCCTCTCCCTCACCTTTTCTTTCCATCACCACCTCTGTTACCATGGTAACCTCCTCTAAGGGAGGCAAGCCTCAACCATCCTCCCTCCACCCAGCTTCTTAGCAGCGACAAGCCCCCAACTGGGGCTGCACCCCCCTCCACTCATCGACTCAGACCCCCTAGAGAACTCCAGTTGAGAATGGGAACCTGAGACAGGAGTGGGCCATGGAGAAGAAACCTTGAATCTTGGAGAGGCACTTTCTGGCTCCCAAAGGAAAGGAGGCTAAGCCTTGGAAGGGACCCCCAGTATTGATGGGATAAAGGAACGGGGTTTGACCAGCCAGCAACCTAGGTGTTGTACTGTCCTTATTTGAAAAAGAAAAAAAAAAAAAACCACTAAAGTGCAAGAATTATTCTGCACTGTTTCTCCACCTCTTTTTCCTTTCCTCTTTTTGATTTTTTTGTTTCTTTTGTAAAACATACTATCTTGGTTTCCTCATGGAGTATATAGTGTTTCCACGTCACAGACTCCGGCCTTCTCGCCTTCAGTCCTTCTAGGTGGGGAAAAGGAAGGTGAAGGGCCAGAGGTGGGAGGGGTCCTCAGCCCCTTACACTCACTCACCCCACTTCTCTGGTACCCTGCTCACCAGCCTCAGCTCCATCTCCACCACCACCACCACCACCACCGTCACACACTAGCCTGTCACATGGATAGCACAGTTGTCAGACAAGATTCCTTCAGATTCCGAGTTGCCTACCAGTTGTTTTTGGTTTTTAGGTTTGGTTTTTCTGTTTTGTTTCAGTTTTTTTTTTTTTTTTGGTTTGTTTAAGACAGTAATAACCACAGCACATATTACTGTAGTTCCTTATAGTGTTACATACAGGCATACTGTAGCTCTGTTTTCTTCTCTCTTTTTTGTTTCCAACTTAAAGAAAAATAAATACTCATGATTGTTACTGGTGGGGGAAAAAAAAAGAAAAGAATGAGAAAAGTGATAATAAAACCAACAAACAATCCATTTGTGAAAGAAAACAAAAAAAAAATGCAAGAACAAGAATCGCATGAATGCGGACAAGTTTGGCTCCTGTTTAGCATTTTGTACTTAAGGAAATAAAAAAGAAAGAAAGAAAAAAACCAAACCAGAGGATCTCACGTTTTATTAAAGAGTGAAGATTTGCTGTATACTATTTATTCAACTTATAATTTATGTTACTCCTTGATCTTTGTCTTTTGTCATGACAAGGCATTTATTTAATAAAGTTCTGCATTCAGTTAGCCTGCGTTGGCTTCCTCCAGGGGCTCAGGGAAGCAGGCAGAGGGAGAGGCAGCTGGGTCTCTCTTCAGTTCTCCAACAAGAGCAGAGAGCACTAGGAGAAAGAACTCAGGCCCGGGTACATCCCCCAGAGACGACCCTGAGTGGAAAAAGGCTCCTCACAGATGAGCCCTCTGCCCAGAACCTGAGCATCCCTTCCCTCCTTGACCTCCCTGAGCCCCACTGCGGGTACTGACCACAGAGCAAACGCAGCACAGCCTTCAGAAAATGAGATGCGTGTCCAGCTCACAGCTGGGGGAACTGCTATTGGTCTCCGTCTGAAGTAGTCTTACTTTGCCCTTAAAATGTCTCCTCTTAGACGGGTGCCAGTGACTCATGCCTGTAATCCTAGCTGCTCAAGAGGCTGAGATTTGAGGTTCAAAGCCACCCTTAGCAGGGAAAGTCTTTATCTTTATCTCCAATACATTACAAAAAAAAATCCAGAAGTAAAGCTGTGGTTCAAGTGAGCACTAACCTTGAGCAAAAGAAGCTCAGGGACAAGACCTAGGCCCTGAGTTCAAGACCCAGGACCAGCATCAAAAAAAAACCCATCTCTTCTCTTTAGA